TAAATTGTTTTCTTATTGCAATATAATTAATCTTCGATCATTTTATTTATTTTTGATAATCGACAGATTCTAAACCAGTGTTTTCTAAATTGTAATATTTTTTAAATTGTTTTCTTATTGCAATATAATTAATCTTCGATCATTTTATTTATTTTTGATAATCGACAGATTCTAAACCAGTGTTTTCTAAATTGTAATATTTTTTAAATTGTTTTCTTATTGCAATATAATTAATCTTCGATCATTTTATTTATTTTTGATAATCGATAGATTCTAAACCACTATTTTCTAAGTTGTAATATTTTTTAAATTGTTCTCTTATTGCCACGTTAAAAAATATTAGTGAAAATTATGATCCAAGAGCAAAGTTCTCGATGCAAAATCACAAATAAAAAATTACAACAATTTCCTTCTATGATTCTCATTTATCGATCGCGAGAGATTCTAAACTCTCCCCCTTGAATTAGATAATCCTTCCTTTCTTGAAACGTATCTGCTGAGCCATGAGATACGTTTTCGAATACGGTCGAGAAAAAGGAATTTCTGGAGAAATTCAATCGTACCAAGGGTATTGCTCGATCGTTTACAAAGGAAGCACCATTCCATTGAAACAAGAACGATCCTCTTTTTTGCGAATCCTCCATTTTGGGAACTCGTATTGTGCCGAACAACGAACAACACGTTTTTCCGCCCGAATTCGATCGAAGATATCAATCAGTGATTTATGAGTTGGAACACGCGTGGTCCAAGCCTTTCCATTAAACTGATGACCTCCATTACATCTCACAGACAACTTCTACACACGCGAAAGATGAACGTAAAATTCGCTCGTGATATCGGGAGAATTATACCGATGATATCAGATCCATCCTCTCGTTTCTTTGTATATAATCTAATGAAGGATCCGTAGATGTAATTATTGAACTTGAAAAACTACTCGAAAAACTCTCTCCTCTAAAGAAATTTCTTTCTTCTCTCGATGATTAATGAGTAAATTAGGCTTGCTTTTCTTGTTTCGTCGCGAATTCATGTTTCTCTTCGTACCTTCTTTCGTATCTTCTTCTAATATCATTAGAAGAATTAGATTTAACGAATAATCTGCCAATTCTCTCGTCAATTTCACTTTTGAAAAAATTGTTAAAAATTACGCCAGGAAATAATATTCGAATAAGGAAAGAAGGTAACGATTGATAAATAACGTTTTAATTGGTAAAAGGGAATGTCCCGTTTTTCAAAGAGATATCTTGCATCGTTTCAGGTGCGGACAATGAAGGCTCTCCGGGGATTTGCATAGACGTGCGCGTGGAAACTCCGACAATGTGCAATTCCGTGTTAAAGTGTTCGTGAACGGGTTTCTCGTTATTCGTACGATCCTCTCGGCTACCTGTATCGCATTCTGCCCAGCAAAGGAATACGCAAGAACGATGTCATAGTCAGGTGCGAGTCGAGTTCACTTGGGGCACAATGGCACTGTTGTTCGCCATTATTGTCATCCTGGTCACCACTGCCATGTCGCTGCCGCCGGTCATCAGAATCGGTAAGTCGAAACGATTATATCCAATCAAATTAAATTGGAATCTATAATTTTATTATTGTTCGAATAAGAAATAACGATAGGCTATATAACAATATCGATATTCCACGTTGATACACGCAAAATATTTTCGATTGTGTTATCAAAACCAATGAAAATTTTCCTTCTAACGAAAGTTTATGAATATGTAGTAATATTGAAATTTTAATGCTTCCTTTTTTTCAAAATTTGAATTTATAATTGCACAAGGTAGGAGAAAACCTTTAGACGAAATGCACGAAATGTAAACAAATTTCATTACAAAAAGGAAAAGGCGAAATAATATTATAAAAGCATGGGAAAAAATTTTCGAAATTTTTAAATTCGGATAATTTCACCCCTCGGGAAAAAATTTTCCACCGAAAACAAGAATCCATATAATCCATTATGACTTACACGCGCGAAAACTTTCGTTCGAATCGGAATATGTTGAATGGATAAAATTGCGTTACCTTCGTAAATGTCTTCGTATCATGGACGGTAATTAAACCGAAAATTGGTAAATTAATATCCAAGCTTTGAAGCGCGTGAAATATAAACGAAAAGATAAATCTGTTAATTAAACAGCAACGGATGCTGAGAAATTTCGTGGATCGACGAGTACGAGAAATAATTTGTATGCAACGTGTATGCTCGTCGATCAACCGGGGAAATTGGAACGAATTTTATACGATTACCCGCATATTCCGCGCGATTACGCGAATAAGAATGTTCGGCCTAGTAATTAAATTTATCTCGAGACGGCTTTTTTCACGGTGGCTTCTCGTTCGTTAAAGCGAACGTGTAGGGGAAAAAAGAGAAAAGAAAGAAAAAAGAACAAGGAAAAAAAAAAGAAATGAGAGAGAGGGAGAGACGGAGGGAAGAATGTTTTGCACGGAACATTTATTGAATGGGTCGAAGTTAATCTTTGATAGACGGATTGGAAGTAACCGAGTTTTAATTACTTCTACGACTAATTAACGCCAGTCTTACCTCTCGCCTTTTACTCTCCCTCGATACACAAAATTCTCTCTCTCTTGAAAAACGTATCTTCGCCCTGATATATTGAATTCCACGATTTAATTAGCATCCTTGCCTCGAAAGTGTGTCAAATTCGATCCTGGATTGACATTTAAATTTTCCTTTTTTCTTTTAATTCACGAAAATTAAATTAATAGCTTATTTACGTAAACATGATTTCAAAAATATTTATTTCAACGAAGATTAATTTTCTTTACATACTGCCCATAATAATGGATTTATGTTTGGCAATATAAATTAAATTAATTAATTCCAGTCGTTTTTCCTTTCAATTATGATAATAATTTATGATAATAATTATGCTGGAATTTTACTACGTTTCTAACCACTTTTTTATTCTCAAAATAAAATGTTCCATTCCTTCTCTTCATCATTATTCCTCTCTTTGAAAGATGCAAAACGAACACGCAAAATATACGTCTATTTTATAACGAACCCGAGACTTATTGACTTCATTCTCACTGGCCACGTAATAACACCCATTTGTCAATTAATGTCAACATCAGTTAGTCAGTTAGTTAGTCAGTTTGGACACGTACCGTTGCAAACGCAAAGCTTGCTCGTAGAGAGGCCGAGTTGTAGGATGCATACAAAGCGGTTGGCCAGCAAACGATTCTCTTGCACCGCGATTCATCCCTTAAACCACGACCATCTTTTACCGCCGTTAAGTCGCCCTCGTGGTCTCTGACGTTAAGAGGCGGCGTGCACTCTTCTCTCCATAATGGAGGAAACTATTAACTTCTTCGAAAACTTAAGTTAACTTCACTGAAAAATTAAGTGCCTGCCTCCCTACTCGTCGCGACGAAAGGAAAGGAAAGATTGGAAAGGATCGGTTGTGGAAGGATCGAAGGATCTGTCACCGCCGATTCTGAGCCGATTTTTCCTCGCCCTCTTCGATATCCCTCGTACAATTCTCAACCCCGTGGCGTGGACGTATTCGAAAATGTCATTTCTCGGGGAATATGGCCATCTCTTTCGTGGCCATCAACGAACTCCGGCCACGCGATGGAAACTTTCCGTCCGGCGTAATTACACGGAATTTCAACGCGGTGAACCACCAGCAGGGAAACTTGGCCGCAATTTGAACCTTGCTGTTGACGAAAGGCCGGTCCGTGATTAAGGAGGCGTCGAGAAATGTGGCGAAGTAGTTTCCTCTGGTCGAAGGGAAGGGAGAGGGAGTGAATAGAATTTTAGGGAAATTGTGATTTGGTTTAATTTAATTCAGATGAAACTGTAACGACGCGTTTTTTACTTTTGTTCGGATATGGATTATTTTTGATCGCTTGAAATATGTATAATCATCATATTATTGCAAATATGAAATACTGGAATAGTGTTATGCAATATTAAAATAGAAAAAGAAACACAAGTTTTTTGAGATTATTTACATTCAAAATTAATCGTGGTGCAATAATGACTGTTTCAATATTCCAGTAACATATTTGCCTTTGTAACTCTGTCGCAAAATTGCTAATATAAAATTTGATAAAATACTTTGATGATGCGAAGTAAAATTTAAAGTGAACGAGTTATTAATTACGATTATTAATATGATTTTGCCTATATATATATATTAAGATAAAAGAAACATTGTTAGAAGTTTGATTAAGATCAAGTACTTTATTATCCGATCAACACGGTGGCTCTCAGGCGTGATTATAGACGTGGTGCAATACACCTGTCATTCAATGTAAATTTGTGTTACGTGTTGTGGGAACAATCTGACCCTTGCAACTATACTCGTGTAACTTCCATTGTTATCGATTCAATGTATAATATAATTCCAATTAATAGAGCACGATAATTGAAATTGGAAGCTAATTGCAACTGGACTGTATTGTGGCAATCTCCTTGATTTTACTCGGAGAATTGCACTAGATCCAATATCCTTTGGTTTTGCCGTTACAATAACAAGTGTTCCTCAGGAGGATAGCGACAATCACTGTCGATTTTTCCTCGTCTCACTTCCTTCGAGATTCCTTTGCGATTCACCAAGGCGAGTCAACTTCTTTCGATTTCCGATCGATCTTAACCCGGATTAAATCCGTTACATCTTATTTAATAACGAAGAAAAAATTATCTTATTACGATCTCTTTATCGTACGAATAATTTCAATTCTAAATTCCCTTTTAAATTTTTACTCGAAATTAAAAAACAAAGTATCGAAATTATTTTTCCCTTAAGTATCTTGGTTTCCTGGATTATTTAAATCTTTAATCAATCTTTCGCTTCGTTCCACTTTTTATTCTCTTTTCTTTTCTTTTCTCTCGTATTTTATCCTCTTCATTATTTTCTACATATGATATCATATAATGGAAAGTAAAGATTATATTTTCCACGACGAATGTACGAATAAACATCGGCAAGATAAGTATTCAAAATAAACGGAATTGGACTGTAATAGTGTTTGTAGAAAATAAATAAATCTTGTTTTCCAAGAAGAAGAATCCTATTGGATTTTCGCCTTATTTGACTACGGTAATCAGATGAACGTCGATACACGATCTCGAGAAAAATCTTTCTTTTGGAGAGAACAATATCAATCTTTTGATGCATTGTTATTTGTACATCAATCTTGAGAATTCTATTTCCCAACTGTGGTCCTCGAGGTGGAAGCGAATTTCACTCAACATCTCAACAAAGAAAGAGTATCGTATTGCGCTCGAAAAAAGCTGGTACACCGTACGGATCGCGTGAATAACTCATTTCTTATTCAATTCTCGCGAATAACTCTGATCCTGCTTGATTTTCGTATTTTCTAATTCAACAAAAATTCATTGTTCGAGAATCAGAGCACGATATATGTAATATAATATCGTATCATGTAAAAAATCAACGATTAAATAAAAAAAAAATATCAAAATCTAAACTAAATTATTTCTCAAACAATCTTTCAAATTTTCTAATTCAACAAAAATTCATTGTTCGAGGATCAGAGTTCGGTCCATGGTAAATATATTTGTAATGTAATATATCGCATTATGTAAAAAATCAACGATTAATAAAAAAAAAAAAAGAAATATCAAAATCCAAACTAAATTATCTCTCAAACAAACTATCTTTCAAACAATCAATCCTAAACGAAACAAAAGTTATTACGAAATTTTGGAGATTGTGTTATGACAGTTTCTAACTGTTATTTCAAACTATATATAACAAATGTGGAGAAAACATCGTCTTGCCACGTGGAACGGTGTCACGTAGAACGAAAGGGTGGTGCGTCTTTCACCCCCGGAGGCACGTTCCGCAAATATAAGTTGGCGAATTTCCGGCAGCCACTTCTGCGACTTTAATTACTCCTTGGATCCCTCGAGCAACCGGCATTAGCTCCGCCATTTCGCTTTCATTAACGGCCAAGACTCGTGTCAAGACTTCTTTCCCCCGACAGTGACAGAGAATTCTTTCGAGTGAGCGAGGGTTGGCCGATATCGAAAAATTATTCCATCGTTAAATCCGCGGCTTCTCTTCTCCCTTCCTCTTGTTCCTCTTGTTGAATATTCCTCGTTGAGGAATAAACGTTAATGAAGTCCGGGGAAGGGGGGCGAATCGCCATGGTGCTAACAGTATTAAAGATTTATAACTCGACTACCTCGCTACGGGGAATTATAATGTGCTTAGAAGCTCTATGAAGGTGTGGTCGTCCAGTGTCAGTGAAGAAGCCGGGGTTCGACGTGTCTTTATCATATTTAAAGCGAAACTAACTGGTGATTTGTCTCGCGGGGATAGAGATAAATTCGATAGCTTCGTAGAGGGTGAAAGTGAATTTTCATTCTTGTGAACGCGTTTTACAATTTAGAAGGTAATGAAATGTTTCATAGCGTGATTCGATAATAAAAA